TTAGGTATTATAATTTATTTTTATACATAATTGTGTCATAATTTGGTAAAATATCACACATACATATATTTTTATTTTTTGTACAATGGCTCGCCTCGCTTTCATAAGGCGGGCGCCTCGCCGCACGCCTCACGCCATGGCAAATAGGAGCCTTGTCGCCTCGGCTCGCCGCGCGCTATTTTAATCACTGCACATTAGACAACTCGTTACTAAGTCCATTCAGGACATAGTTCCGGCAAAGGTAATCACCTTGCCCCCAAACATCGTATGCAGCGCGTAGGGGGATCGTCCTTCAGATATTTTGTCAAACCTAAGGTGGTTTGATAGAAGTGCATCTTCTGCTGCCACCTCTTGAAGTCAGGCGCAGTCGGGACCTGAACAACATGTACAAGATGATAATGCTGAACATAGTTGTTGATCGGCTGCTGAGAGATGGAACCTGCTCCGGTGGAAGCCATCAGTTCAGTAGGAGTTATTCTTCTTGCGATTGTTAGAAAACTGAGTGTAAAATTATACGGGAATTCTACTAACTGATATGTTCAGTTCTTACAAATAATCTAAAAAATATCAAATTACAATTGAACTGAAAAAATAAATTACAACTGAAAAACGAAAAGATTTTAGCCGATGCGAGTAAAACTCTTTCCGCAAGAAGAATATGCCCCGTGTGGCAGCTAACGGTTCAGGCGGTTCAGGCGTAACTTCCCCAAAGATACACCGACAACGTCTCTAAATCTGTAGCACACCAGATTTACGAGTTCCGACGAACTGGAACGGAGTCGAGAATTGAGCACTTAAAAATATGAATAAAATATCTCCTTTTGTTATTTTGATAACAAATAAATATTTTTATTCTTTCTTTCTCTCTTTATATTTTTTTTTCTTTTCTTTCTACCACCTCTCTGCCGTGTTCTTTTATCTCTATTGTTGTGTATTTTTTCTTCTTGAAGCACACACATACATATAGTAGGATGATGACTTCAAGTTGGTGCTTTTAGGGAAAAAAAAATGGTTGAGGTTGGGTGTGAATTTGGTAAGTTGGCCACCAACATTAATTTATTCACGCATGCAATTATCCAATTGGTTGGATTGGTTTAGCAAATGGAAGTTGAGGTGGTGTACACTCACAAATATTATAACAAAAACAATCTATGGGGGATTGCGGCGTTTCTGCAAGGAAGAGCCAAGCAGAAGCCGTGGCGGTGGGGTTGGCGGCGAGGAGTGAAGCTGGGTGCGATTGGCGCTTGACGACGGCCGACGAGGATGAGTGATGGGAGTGAAGGTAATCGCTGGAAGAAATTTGTTGTTTGCACTTTTCTAATTGAATTGAAATCAACAAAGTACGCCGATGACTCTTTTTTACTCATCAATTCAAGACAAAATGGGCCTTAGACAATAATGAATCGGTTTATAATTTTGTCTGGGTCTTTGTTGTTGGGCTAAGTTACTAAATGATATGAGGCTATACAACCAAACTACTATACTATATAATTTATTTATTTATTTTTTACCTGGGGCTGGAGCCCACCCTAGCCCATGGGTGGCTCCGCCCCTGCCCCCTCCCCTTCTCCCAATCTTTTCAGGACGTGATAACCAGAGTTGTGCTGAAATGGACTTTATGCCCAAGACTTTTTAACTATCATTTTTTCCTTATTCAGTGTATTAAGTTACTTTAGGAGATCGTGAGGCGCCAAAATTACTTTTTACATGCTCAAATCCCGACATGGGTACAGTGTCCCCGTGGACACGACATATCAAATTCTGGGCGAGATTCCTTGATTTATGCGTCTTCTAACTGTCGGATTTGTCTTCTTTAGCATATACGTTTTTCTAAATCTTATTAATATTTTGGTTTACTTTAACAACAATAATTATTGCATTTTTAAAATCTGATCTGCTTAATAACTGATTAATATGTTAAATATTAATTTATTATTGATCAAAGTTTACTTTAAACAAATAATGAACACGTGTTAGCATATACATTTTTTTATTAACATATCATCAAATTAAATATTATTATATTAATTAACTAATAGATGATGAACTATAAAAGATTAATGTATTAATTGTTCAAGTAATGCACCGGGGATATGAAGAGCATGTTTGTTTATGAAAATTTTTGGGTTTGTTTAGATTTTTTTGATTTGATTTGGTTAATTTTGAAAAGGTGGTATGATTAGTTGGTAGTGGGTATATTAAAATAATATTTAAAATAAAATAATTAAAATTATTTTGATGTAAAAGTAGGAGAGAGAATATGTGATGTGATAGTTAGTTAAAATAATGTGAGTAGATGAATAGTGAATTAAGATTAATGTAATAATTTCGTGTGTTTTGATTGTTCTTAAAGCTTCCTATATATAAAATGTCAAAGGTATTATTTCTTTGGTAAAAAATTTCTAAAAATGAATTTAATAACAATCATTTTATATATAGATAGATATAGATTCAAGTTTCAATAGTTTCAGAATTATGAATTTCTCCACTCCATGAAAATTCCGAATCAACATCAACATAAACATACCCAGTATATTCCTAAACATTTTGGGTTCTAGGGGGTCTATACGCAGACATTACCCTTGTAATTGTAGCAAAAAAAAAAAAATTCGATTTTTTTAACGACGTCACGCCCCATTTAAATTCCAACTAGCCCATACCATTAAATACCCATTGAAAGCCCATCCAGCTAAACCCACTATTAAAGCCCAAACCCATCCAAAAATTACCTTCCTTCTCTGAGCCTCCTTCCTTCTTCTTCTCCAAACTCAACAAGTCACAACTCAACCCAAACCTTAAACAGAGGCAGTCAAAATATCGAACAGACCTCCTCCGTCGAACAGACCTCCATCGACTTCTCAATCTCTCCCTCAAATCGGCGGCAAGAGAAAGTTCTCTGCATCCCAGGGGACCCAACCTTCTCCTTCTCCTCCTATGGCCCAACATCCTCGTATGCTCCAACCTGCGGCTCCTCAATCTCTCCCTGCATCCCAGGGG